AAAAAAAAAAAAAAAAATAGTGTTACAAATTTTGACCACATGAATCACTGTGGTCGAATTCATATGTTGGTCTCTTGTACATATATCTTATTTGATTTTGTTGGAGAACTGTGTTAACTTTTTGTTTGTAACTAAATCGTTGTTATGGTGATCCTGATGTATGATTGAAGGACATCAATTGCGATCAAGGGGAGCTAAATCGAACTGCAAAACAGTAGAAAAGATGGCTGAGAAATTGGCTCCTGAGAAAAGGCACAGCTTCATGCATAATGGTATAAGTTCTTCTATGCTATTGCTGTCTTTGGTAGATGACGATGATGATGAATGTCCGCAGACACAAAAAAAAAAAAAAAAAAAATGTTGTTTTTTGTTCAGGTCAAAAGGTCTTTGAGTGGGACCAAACGCTGGAGGAGGTGAATATGTACATAGATCTTCCACCCAATGTTCCAAAGAAGCTTTTCCACTGTAAGATTGAATCGAAGCACGTTGAAGTTGGGATTAAAGGGAAACCTCCCTACCTTAATGTCAGCTTTTTCACTTTGGTGTTATTTCCCCTTCATTTTATTGTGAATTTCTTTAGTTCTTTCCAAAGATTATTGGCATTAATTATTATTATTTTTTCTTTCTGCCTCTTGATATATCACAGCATGACCTTACCTGCCCAGTGAAGACAGATTCTTCATTTTGGACGCTCGGTATTTTTTTTGTGCCTAACTGCTTTCTACTGAAGTGAACAAACCAATGACTGTCGATACAAGATTGAGTTGTTAATTATAATATCATTCGAGTTTGTTGGAGTTGGTGTTTGATGGGTGATGAAGTTGGTGTGTAGGTGTTTCTCCATTCCCTTTTTCAGTCTGTTATTTCTGATTTATTGTTACCAGAAAACGCGTGTTCAGTGGTGCGTTTCTTTTATTAGTGAGTTGCGTCTTTCTTGGTTTTAGTTTAAGGGTCGGGACGGTGTCGTTTTAGCATTGCATGTGGGTGACATATACAGCTATACATACAATACATAAATGCACTCTGTATGAACATTTCAGTTTGATTTTGGATTTCCGATTAATGAGCAAATGAGGTTTACCTCACAAATAGCTCGATCTCAGTTTCAACAGATTTTCTGGAATCTTGATTCAAATGATCTTGTGATTTTTGTACGTGACTCCTATTAGTTGATCTGTTAATGAATGAATAATTGGATTCAGCTACTGCTAATTAAGTGTGGATAGCAATTTGTGGATCCAAAGTTCATATAATTTCTCCTCAAAATGATGTGAAGTTTGATATTTGTTGTTGCAGAAGATGATATTATGCACATAACTCTGCAGAAAAGGGACAAGGGTCAGACTTGGTCTTCACCTATAATGGGTCAGGGCCAGTTAGATCCATACACCACAGATCTTGAGCAGAAGCGCCTCATGCTTCAAAGGTTTCAGGAAGAGGTTTGTCAGTCGTCATTTTAGACTTGATTACGACTGATATACATGACATCTAATTGTTTTTGCTTTGACGTCTTTAGTATGGTCATTGTGCCTCGTGTCAAGTGTCTTTTTCTGAGTGATATATATCTTCTATATTAGCATGTTTGTTTAGACGAGGGCTCATATTTCTAGTGGCTCGTATAATAATCAAGCTTCATTTTCCATTTTTGCTAATTAATTATGGGTGCTATAGTTCTGTTAATTTCCATTTGCTCGTCTTACATATAGTTTTGTAATCAACTTTGTCATTACCGGAATCTGATGGCATTTACATTGCCTCTGTTATACTCCCTCCGTTGATGTATAAAGCCAGTAAATGTATCACAAAATAATTGTCTGTAGGAATTCCTGATTTAATTTTTCATGTGATCTCCAATACGCCTTGTTTACTATCCTCAACTATATGCTTTACTACGAGTGTGGTAATGGAAAAGCCGAAAAGGTTGTGACCATCAAGAAGGATATGCAAGTCGTGTTACGAGATTTCTTAATTTGTGTGACACCATCTAAATTATGATTGAGTTTCTTTGTGAAGGTATTCATAATATTAAAATGTTTTTGAATTAAGAGTTTTTTTGGGAGGATTGCTTCTATTAGAAAGCCACAATCATCGGGTATGCATATAGACAGTCACTCAAGTAACTTGCAGTTGATAAACCACTTTGTTGAAGCACAGACTTGTTTCAATGCTGACTTTGTAATTGCATCGAGTGTGTAACTTTTGCTTGCAGAATCCAGGCTTCGACTTTTCACAGGCTCAGTTCTCTGGAGGTTGCCCTGACCCGAGGACCTTCATGGGTGGTATTCGTTCTCCTTAATAGTTCTCTTTAATACACTTTAGTCTTGGAAAAAACAATGTTGCAATCCTTGAAAATTAGTCGTGGGCTCGTCAAGATAATGAGATCGAAAGGCCTGCAAAATAACAGACATGTTGAACATTGGTTCTTGCAAGTGCTTATTTTGAACTACTCTATTTGCTTCTTACCTGGTTTTTCTCCCCTATGTTTGAATTCAATGTGCTCATTAACTTAAATGGCAGTCTTGCATGCTTCGGAATCTTATTTGACGTAAGGTACACACTTGGTTTAACAAATAGGTTTTGGAGTTAACATAAAATTATTTAACATTTCTTTTTCTTAACTTACCATATATTACATTCCTTTTTATAAATTACCATCCACTATATGTTCATTTTTCATTTAATCCATATATTAATTATTATATATTTATTCTCCTCATTTAAAAAAAAATTAACTTTTTTATTTGTATATTTTTATATATAAATATAAGCGCAATTGGAATTCCTGGGGAGTTATACATCCAAATAACTATCTTCGAACAATTTTTGATTTGATATCCTATTGCATATTTAATATAAAAATAATTTAATGTCTTTAAAAATATTATTATTTTTATTTTTATTTATCATACCAAATGAAAAATATTAAATAAAACAATAAATGAATTCATGAAATAGTAATAATTAAGTTTAATAATTGTGAACAATCATTTTAGCATATTATTTATACAGATTTGGAAAAAATGTAAAAGTTGAGTATTTATATATATAAAAAAATATATATGAAAAAATATTCAAAAAAATACGTCTGGACTTAAGTAAAGTGTATATAGTGTTTAAATGTTATTATGATGTAGTAAATAAAAAGTTCAATTAAATATCATAATTAAAATATTAAAAAAATTATGTATTTCAAAAAAAAAAAAATCATTTGTATATATTAATTTATATTTTAAATCATCAAATATTATTAATTTAAAATATTTAAAAAATTAATATATGAGAATCAATTGTAAACATAAAAAATACAGTTACATACAATAAAGCGTTAAAAAATAAATATGAAAAATCAAAATCAAAATTATGGTATTGTTGATAACATTTGCTTTGGACGTATATAATTCAATAAATATAATTAAAAATGTTAGTTTTAATTAATTAAGTGTACAATGGGTTTCATGTTAAATAATATCACTATGTTAGTTTTATTTTTTTATAATTTAACAAGGGGAAATTCTATTGGAAGGCCTAACTTTTTGCAAGAAGATATAATTATTTTTTTCCTTTTTCTTGTACAAGTGTAACTTTAACAAGTACCTACATAATACACAAGTATGGTAACATATTTAAAAATCTATAGTTATATTATCAGTAAAGACGGAAGAATATGTTTCACATTCTTACTAGTACAACGCCCGTGTATTACACGGGTGCTTGCTAATTTTTTCTTAAAATCTAAAATTAATGAGAAAAAAGTAGTTGAAAATTTAAATACCTTTTATAAAAATATATATATTATTATATATTTAGTATGACACTTTTTATTTGTGCAACTTACATGTGTTATATTATAATAATTTTTTATAGCTTACAACAGTTATTATTTTTTTATTATTATAAATATAAATATAATTTATTTATTTCATATATACAATATGGATGTCAAATTGAAGATCATCAAAAGATGATTAATTTGATATATTATATATGTAACACCGATACGAAATAAAGAAGTTATCGACTTTTAAAATACATTTATAATTCAATAGCTAATTGAAGGAAACAAATCAAAAGTCAGGGAGATATTAGTCACTTAGTGTCTCAGTATGTAAAATTACAAAGAAATAAAGGGTTATATTAGTACAAGTGATATTAAAATACCTAAGTTAGCTAAATAATATTTATGGAATGACCAAACCTAAATTATTAATTATTAATATATCAATATTATTTGTCCAAACCTAAATTATTAATTATTAATATATCAATATTATTTGTCCAAACCTAATTACGAAGCATGATTCTTTGCCAAATAAGATTCCGAAGCACCAGAAGCAGCCACGTAGGCTCAGTGCATTCGGAATAATATATAGGAAGGATTCGATTACCAATGTAGCAAAGAACAAAATTTTATACTTTTATACGTTTGATTCAATTATATTTGTAGTCCAAAATGATTACTTACTTTAGGTTAATTAGATAATATAAAAAAATGTTGAAAAGTGTTTCGATGAGAGAAAAGATCATATGAGAGAGAGGGATAATGAATGAAATAAAATGAATTTGTACCATTAGATCTATTATATCAATGGTATTGATGAAATCAAATTTGAATAAGTGGCCGTTAAACATGCATGGCATTCTAGTAAATAAATGATCATATCATGATCAATTATACACATTTGCCCTCATTAAGGGTAAATTAGTCATTGACCACCATCCACCTACAAGTGAGACTCACTCCAATCCACTATCCTTAATACACGTCACCCCACCACACCACCTACTCGCGTTCATACACACACAATAGAACCGCCGTCGGTAATTCAGAAAGCCTTCAAACCGTCGCCGCAAGTTGCTCGCACCGCAGTCGCCACAACTAGGCCCAAACATCTCCACCACCGTCGCCACATCACTGTCACCCTTCCACCAACAATACAGCAGAGACGCTCTGCCGCTTCAGGCAACGAAGTCCGCCTTCGATCCGCTGGACGCCATCAGGATGGCCGAGAAGACTCGAGGACATTCGTTGAGGAATTGCCGGAGAATGAATCTGTTAATAAAAAAATTGCTTACGAGATTAAGTTTCTGCAAATTGGCCTTTAATGTATCCACCGGGCTAAGCGAGATGGCGATGTCTGACGGCCCGATAGTTCTTAGGCGGAGACGACAACCTGAGCGACAAGGGGGGCGGCCGGGAAAAAAATGTGTGATTGGAGTTGTTCTAAGAATTTGATAATATGTAGGGCCTAGTTGCAATTTTATAAATATTACAATTTAGTTCTTATGTCAAATTTGTAATTAATCAAAACATATTATTATATTAGTATTTATTTAATTTTTAATTTTTTTTGGTTGAAATTAAATAATATTTTTATATAAAATATATAAAAGAATAATAATAGTATTTTTTACATTATTCGGTCGTTTGGTTATTTTGGTTAAAAAAAGGCCGACATCAAAACAAAACAATTAAGTTTTTAAAAGTAAAAAAAGGTAATCGAGTCAATATAAAATTTTGAACAGAAAATTTTGATTCCCTCGGTTTCGTTCGATATGGCGTAATCTGATAGTCATTAATGTGAATTTCGTATAGCACAATTGTGCAGTCACAAAGCAGAAACTTTTAATGAGCTATCGTAAAACAAACTAAAAATTGATACGAAGTAATCAATTTATTCGATCAGTTGAAATTAAATAACATTTTACATAATAATATATAAAAGAATAGTAATAGTATTTTTAATAAAATTCGATTGTTTGGTTATTTCAGTTTTTTTTAAAAAAAAGGCCAACACCGAACTAAAATAATTGAGTTTTTGAAAGTAAAACAATATATTGGAACCGAAATATAAAATTTTGATACAAAAGTTTTAGTTCGGTCGGCTTTGTTCGATATTATGCAATCTGGTTGCCACTAATGTGCAGTTCACATAACACAATTGTGCTCACAGCGCAGTAATTTTTAATGAGTTGTCATAAAACAAACTAAAATTGAATCGAAATTATTATTGTATTTGTTGATTAACCGATTATTTTTGTTGACTGAATTATTTGAAATAATTTATTACTTATATAGTAAAAAATATTTTTAGTGTTTTAATATCTATATATGATATTTTATATTATTTGTGACTGAAAACACTTATAAAATACTTAAATGATAATGTGCATTCCACAAACATTAATGCGCAATTCGTCTAACATTATTGAGCAGTCTATTGAGTGTGTATTTTATTTTATTTTATTTATTTATTTTTTTTTATGTGCATTTAACTTTTAGAAAACTGTAATAACGTGCTTTTCAATCAACATTATTGCATATAACAAAAACATAATACTATTTGTAACTTTCATGTAATATTTTATATTACTATTTGTTTAAAGTAAATAAAATATATACGGATAAAATATAAAAATAATATTCTTTGTGTTCGATCGGTTTTGTTATTATTTTTTTTATTTTTGTAAATAATTTCTAAACCGAATCAAATTACAAGAATTTTAATATATGTGAAAAATTCACACTAGTATACAACTATTTTTCTTTTGGTCCCGCCTCATCATTGTGCGGTACGCACTGTTATGCTACTGTATATTTTCGAATGCATTAATGTGCTTTTGGTCTAACAATACAGTGCAGTCTAATAGTCATCACATTTTATAATATTGTGCATTTTGGACAGTGCAAGTTTTTTTATGTGCAAATCCAAATTAAAACCGAACCGAAATAATTAGGTTATTCGGTAGGTTAATTGAATAACCTACCACAACAAAAGTAGTTCTTATTCAGAAAGATGCTAATGGTTTGAAATTTTTTAGTCCCTCATTTTGTTGATGTCTAATTGTCATTATAACATGCAAATCCAAACATCAATCTTAGAAATACTATGGCACTTTGAATCGCAACACACACACACACACACACACACACACACACTACTAACCTGTTAAAGAATGGCAGATGATGTAGCAGTTCCATAGGCCATAGTCAATGTGTAATATTTGTAAGCATCATATTCTTCCACACCATGCTGTTACTGATTTTCGACATAGTCAACGAGTAATATTTTGCCTTTATCGCATTTTCGAACACGTGCAAGGGCGTATTTCTTCAAGGTACGCCAATAATACCCTTGTCTCAGGATTTTATAGACAAGGGCTTGGCCTCAAGCCAATATCATACTACTATATTAAAAACTAATACAAAATAACTAGCTAAAGTACTAATCACATATCGACCCCTAAGAGGCTATCCCTCAGATAGGTACATGACAGAGTAGTTCATATCTTATTTGGAACAATAATTTTAAGCATGGACTTCACTAGTTCAGGCAAACATGTAAACAGGTTTTAATCACATATCGGCTCAAACATATGTTCTTTTGTTCCATAGGCAGGAATACACTACACAAGTTTCTGTCCCATGACACTTTAGTGTATCCATGCCCACTCCAGATAAAAGAAAAAAAGGGAAGAAGATAAATGGAAAAACACCAAATATTTACATAAATTTCTTCGATTTTACAATTCTATTGGTCCAAGTCTTGACTCAATGCACTTCTACACAATAGGTTGTAAAAATTTGAAAACAATTCAACGTGATTCGAAATCCGCCCACGATATGGACGTGTAGGTATACTCGGATCATAAAATAGTACGATCTTACGATCAGATCAAGAAACTGACAACCTTGTGGACAAGATGGAATGCTATAAGACATTCCATAGCTGAAAAGAGTAGTACATGGTATTACAGCAGTGTTCCTACATTGTTACAGAGGAAAATCAATGTATGTGCATATCATCTGCCAGAGGAGACTTGACAAATGAACTGGATATATTTCTAACAACATAAAGAATCTTTAGGTAAAATGAATATCTAAGTCAAAGATCGTGAGAATATCCAAATAAATGCACATATGTTTTCTACAACCCAGTAACCAAATCATTTGAAAAATACAAACATCAACAGCAGCAGTTTCTCGGGATCTTTCATCTCACAAAACAAGAAATGTCATCACAGAGGAGAATTAGAATCAAGTATACATCAGTAGAACAAAGACAAAAGAGACAAGAAAGACATGCTGGGTTCAATATCTAAAATATATTAGCACTCAAACGTCGCAAAATCCCAGAACAACAACAACAACAACAACAATACCAACTCAGCACGATCCATTCAACTTATTAAGATGGTCCCGTAAATCAAGCTACAATATGAAGATACCTCCACGATTCAAGACGAAGAAGATTTTCCAACAATGGAGTCAACAAGCCCAGCAGCAATCAACCTCTCCACGTACTTGCCCAAAATATCAACCTCCAAATTCACCTTGTCCCCGACTCTTTTCAATGGGATGACAATCTTCTGCTGCGTGTAGGCCACGAGCACAAGATCAAAACACGATTCGTCATCAAACACGTTGACCACAGTCAGGCTTGTCCCATCCACGGCCACAAAGCCCTTGGGCACAATGTACCTCAAAAGATCCTTCCTTTCGACCTTCACCTTCACCCACAGGGAATCGCCCTCGGCTGTCATGCCCACGATCTGACCCGTCCCGTCCACGTGGCCCTGCACAAAGTGGCCGCCCATTCGGGTGGTTGGGCTCACGGCCCGCTCCAGGTTGACCGGGCTCCCGATCCCCAGCTCTCCCAGGTTGGTTTTCCTCAGGGTCTCCGGCGAGAGGCCGACCGAAAACTCGGACGAAGCCGTGTCGAATTCAGTGACGGTCAAGCAGGTGCCGTTGACAGAGATGCTGTCGCCGAGGTGGACGTCTTCTAGAACGGTTTTTGCCCCGATTTTCATGGTGAAGCTATCGTCGTTGTTGTCCAGCCGTTTGACGGTTCCCATTTCCTCGACGATGCCGGTGAAGAGGGCCGTGATTGTGCTTCTTGCGTTTCTCGAGTTGGATTTAGGGTTTTTCAGGGGTTTGGGGGCTAATTGTTTCGGCAGGCGTAGGCGGTTAGAGGAGGAGAGGAAGGAGATGCCGTAAATTGATGGCGCGGCGGTGGTTTTAGCCGCCGCCCGTGAGGAGAAGGGATTCCAGTTCCGGCGGTGACAGGTCTGTGGAGATGAGAGAGCCATATTGCGGATCATCTTGAATGTCTGGAAAATGACAAAAAACTAATGACAGTGTTCTCAAAACAAAGATGAAAATAATTATATCTGTCAAAACACCGGTAGTCATGGCCACGGGTCGGCCCGACGCGTGGCCCGGCCCAGCACCGACACGGCACAGCCCGTGCGGTTATGAACCGGCCCGAAATTTCTTAAGGGCTGGTTAAGGGCCGTCTTTTATCCATTTTTTACTCGGCGGGCGGGGCCGATTTTAGTTTTTCCGGCGGGTCATAGTTGTTTTTTTTTGTTATTTTTTTTATTTTTTTTTTTAACCCGGCAGTTCAACGAACCGCCGGGCCGCCTACGGGCCCAACAATTGAGGCCCGCCGACCCGGCGGCCGGGCCTCGGGCTTGGGTATTGTTTCTCCAAAGATCGTAGTACCAACTAGGCACCTCTAAACACCGGGTTAATTACTGATCTATTTAAAAAATAAATAAATAAAAAATTATAGCATCTATTTCATCGGATTTGCTGAGGAGCCAACTATTAGAGACCACTGCATACGTAGCACGCCTATACGGCAATTCAAATAAATCCTAATATTTATTTTGTTTTTAATTTTTTAGTTCTGATTTTTTTGGGAGAGAACGAAAGACATGGTTGGAAGAGAAGAAAAACTCTATCGTGAACATGTAGAGAAGTTGTCTGAAGCAGGATAGACTAGACCTACGACGCTTGAAAGAGAAAACTGATCAATCCCATCGATTCTATCCCCTCCAATTATTCAAATCAGCTTTGAGAGGGATAGCCATGGCTGCGACCCACTCATCATATTCTCACGAAGACAAAGGCAGCGGATCCCCACCGTCGTCGCCACCACTGCCAACCCGACGAGATGTCGACCCTCATCAAGGACAAGTGGTAGTCTCTCCGCTGCAACACAATTCGATTACGAAGATCACAAGCCACTCCGACAATTTACATAGAAATGGATACTGATCCAATTGATAAAGAATTCATTCCTCAAGTTGATTCGACTATCTTGCCTAATATAAAATGCTCATAATTCAATAATACACATGCTAAAGATGTTGTTTAAAACTCGGAACGGCAAAAAGAATAAAACAAATTGTACATTTGTTTGAAGGGATTTCACTTGTTCTAAAGAAGTAAGACAAATGAGTCCTACCAGAAGAATAAGCATGCAATGGCAAAAATTGGTGAATGAAGAAGAGGAAATAAGATGCAATTGTACGGATCGAACGAGTATTCGAAAAAACAATGTATTTTGCGCAGTGAAAGATTTTGAAGAGAAACATAATCATTTGCTTTCAACTCCTAAAAAGACTCATTTGCTTAAATCTCATCGAGTTGTGTCGGCTACAAAATGTGTGCTTGTTCGGGAGCATAATGAAGCAAATATACGAATATCCTGACAAGGTAGATTGTTTGAAATTACTTTTGGTGGTCCTTCTATGATGGGATGCCTGGAGAAGGATATTACAAATGAAGAAACCGCACGTAAAGCAGAATTGAATGGACATGATGCACTTACCTTGATTCACCAATTTGAAATGGAAAAGGGAGGAATGAGAATCTCTATTACGTTTATGAGGCAGATGATGATGGTGTTTTCTTGAGGTGCTTCTGGTTCGATAGTGCATCAAAAAATTATATACGTTGTTTGGTAGTACAGTTGTATTCGACACCACTTATAACACGAATAAGTACGGAATGGTGTTTGCGCCTTTTGATGGTGTTAACCATCATAGACAAATTATTATATTTGGTTGCAGTTTACTCAGTGACGAAATAATGGAGTCCCTTGTTTGGTTATTTTTAAAGTTTAAATGCAATGATAAACCAACCACATCCAGAAGTAATTATCACTTACCAAGATGCTGCTATATCAGTTGTCGTGGCAGAGGTATTCCCAAATGCTATACATCGATATTGTATTTTGCATATCTTAAACAAATTTTTCGAAAAGCTCGGTCCCGTTCTTTATAGTTTACACTTCTTTATCTGAGATTACTAAAGACTTTGAGACTCCTAATGAGTATGAGTCTAGGTGGAATTAGTTGATGAGTGCTTCTCAATTGAACTATAACAAATGGTTGTTAATGATGTATGATATACGTCGTCGTTGGGTTCCGAAATATATGAAGGATGTTTTTCTGCTGGAATTTCTAGCAGCCAAAGAGTTGAAAGTAATCATTAATTCTTTAAGTGATACCTTGATAAGAAATTCTCATTGAATGATTTTTTTACTTGCTTTAGTAGGGCTGTTGCGCATCAAGAGGCATAAAGAATTAATGACTGCTCATGTTGATCTTATTGAGAAGCTGAGGGTTAACACTTCATTTGCAATGGAGAAGCAGATGGCTGAGATCTGTACAAAAACAATGGTTTTGTTGTTCTAGAAAGAGTTCAAAAAAAGTGCATTCTATAATGTACATTGATCTCAAGTTCCATCAGTTGCCGAGTTTATGAGGTTTGGCGGTTTGATATTGAAATAACTACCCAACGTTGACCCCACTTGGCATATGATGTCTCAAAGGATTTTGTAACCCGCAGTTGCAAACACTTTGAGTTTAAAGGGTATCTCTGTCGGCACATGTTATGTAGGATAAGAGTAGAACATGTGATGTTACTACAAAAAAAATATATTAAATAAAGGTGGACGAAAAATGCGAATAGTACCATTCTTTGACACACCGCGTGATTTTATAAAAAATAAGTCATTACAGGGTAGGTGTAAGGCATTAATGCATATGGCACAAGAGCTCGTTGATGATGCGTTATTAACTGAAGCACGAAGCAAAGTTTTTAAAGAAAAACTCAAAATTTTGAAACACGAGGCAGTGCAATTGATGAAGAGAAATGCAAAGGTAAACGCTCTTCTAGAAGCCAGAAGGACTAGATGCTACTCATACGTGACTGAACAAACTAGAGGTTGTGGAAATCTTCTAAAGTCAAGTAAAGAGAAAGTTATGTCAAAAAGTGCTCGAACTTGTAGCTCGTGCCATCAGAATGGCCATGACAAGCGAAAGTGTCCGAGTCACAATATACGGCTTGAAGATGATCCATATCGTACAGACATGTCGAGCTTGCACAATTTTAATAATTTGAGTAAGAATTTGGTACTTTAATTATTATCATAATTTTTTGGTGATTCGTTTTGTTCCTAGTTTTGAAGCTTTTTTGGGGTATAACTTGTTTTGTCCCAAGTACATAATGAACTTTCTTGCTCCTTCATTGATATATGAACTAGTGCTTGAAAGAAATGATTTTTTTTTTTTTTTGTTATATTTTAGTTTAACTTGAAAATTTTGCTGGTGTTGGTTGTAATTTCCGGTCAGGTTCAGTTTCAACTTGTAATTTGCTGGTCTCAGTTTTATTTATGTTTATTTTTATGTTGTTCTATGTGTAGTTTGGAGGCCTATTGACTAATGGAATAGTGGCTTTTTCTGGGACGTAATGCTTGGATATAATTTTTTTTTATTTGATTGGATTTTTTTGGTTTGTTTGGTTAATTTTGAAAAACGTGGTATTGTTAGTTGTTAGTGGGTATATTAAAATAATATTTAAAATAAAATAATTAAAGTTAATTTGATGTAAAAGTAGGAGATAGACGATTTGAAGTGATAGTTAGTTAAAATAATGTGAATAAATGAATAGTGAATTAATGCTGATGTGATGTGTGAGAATGATTAGTTGATATTATTTAATTATATTGATAATATTGATGATAGTTGAGTTGAGTTAAAGTTGAGTTAGAAAAAGTGATTGAGTTAAAAATGTTTAGATTTTTTGGAGTAGATTTGTATCCAAACATCCTCTAAGTTTCTCTTCCTGAATTTCTGATTATTCAGTTATCGCCTCAGTCTAGCCGGTACACTGCCATTTAGGCCGACTTGTACGAAAATGGGCGGTACGTATACTTGCAACTATGAAATATTTGCGGTTTGCAGGTGTTACGCCGTGGCATACCTAGAAGACAGAAGAACTCTCGACTGGCCCCATTTGGCAGGTTCGCTTTCATTGGTGCTTGGGCGAGCTTGCTGTTCTGCAAAAGTTCATATTCCTGATGTGATAATGGCTATAGAACTGAAGTTAATTTTACCAGTTTCTGGTAATCATCAGTTATCATTTATTTTAATGGATAGTTTATGAAGAAGTGTTTTTTCTCCCTTTTAGTTGACATTGATATGAAATTTGACATTTCACATACTGGATTTCTTACCTCTCCATCTGTTTTGTTTCATTTGTCATTTGTGAGTTTAAATTTCTTCATATAATAGTTGTCTTTCCATGAATTTTTACAACATATTTTCACAAACCATTTTCTAACATCAACACCACCAACCTAAATAACTAGAACCAGAAAAATTTGGCAAAGTAATCTAAACTCATTAGATTTACAAAAAAGTACAATGTTAATCTGATAGACAAACATCTGGATTGGAGTTCCACAAAATGCAGTCACACTATTACAAGTAATGCATCCTTTATACGATAACTCTATGCAACATCAATCGTGCATCCTGACGGAGATTAGATCCCATACGGTGCCCCTGCTGCGGGAAATGAGCCCTCGCGGGGCTTTAAAGCCCGGGGCGTGGAAATGAATTTGATCGACACAATAGCTTGGTGGCTCATCGGGATCCTTCCACATTTGCCTTCCCGGAGGCCGTATATACTGAGTGAGAGAATAAAAGGCATCTCAAACCAAGTTTATCAACCAAATAGGAAGGTCGAAGTGGTTTACAAAGTCGACTTCACATTTTTACAAGTATTTCATCACCAGTTGCATCATTGGTGGCATCAAATAAAGTAAACATAAATGAGGATAGTTTCCATAAATATTCAAAACTGGACAGGTGGAGTCAGTATACTTACAAATGGTGGTAAAACATGCTTTATCTCCAGCATTATGGTTAAACAATATTTACAGACATTCAATAAAGTCAATAAGGATACTTAAAAATTCAGAAATCCTATCATTCATCAAACTTTAACCTAAAGACAATGGCAGATTCTGGTGAATAACTGGAGGAGGAGAGAGCGGCACACAACCACGGAAGCAAGGGCAACGTGAATCAATGGGAAAGACAAGTTCTCGATGATAAGACAGACATGGAGCTCTCTCTCTCTCTCTCTCTCTCTCTCTCTCTCTCTCTCTCTCACATGAGCTGGCTTTCTTTAATGTGTGCAAATTATTCTAAGCAGCTTAAATTGCTGAAAGACGACATCAGAAAGCTGTAGTTACAATATGTAAGTTGGTTTATGATTTGATTATTTAATCGATGTAGGCCATTATAAAGGGTTTTCATGTTAAACGTTTTCATATCGTGGATGTCTCCGTGCTTTAGAGTAGCCACACTTATAACTAGAGGTTTAATAAGATTTCCTTATTTGATTTCAAAAGGTATAACTGTCATGCCAAGTTAGCAACTCTAACAAATATGAAACTTTCAGGACTGAGAACGTACTTGACATATAACAAGCACGATGCAGTTTAAGCTTGGACAGGCTGAGGATTACTGAGTTATATGATTTTCACTTCCTTGCACACCCTATAATTTTGTATGTCAGCTTCACAGTTACCAACTCATTATCAGTCAGCTGATAATGATTATTCTTATATACACAGGACGTGCATTTAATGGACACGTACGGCAAAGATATGCTTAGTGATTGAGGAAATTTATAAAGTACAATCTTACTAACATTTATGAGAGGATCAAGAGCTTACTGGAATATTCCATGTGAATCAATTCTGCATGGAAAATTTCTTAGGATGATTCTGCAAAACACGGAGGCATCTGAAACACCAATAAAGTAAGACTATGAAAGTAAAAATGCATAATTGAAGTAAAAATTAGAAATAGCATAAGATACAGATTAACAGATACAAACAGGAGTTCGGTTATGATTTAATCTTAGGAAATGAACAATGAGAAAGAGTTTTTCTCCTCCAGTAAACGAGCTAAATGTTCTTCATCCAAAAACACCAATACAGCAACGAAAATTTTGATAAGAATATGGGTTAAGAACCAAATAACAAAGTTAAAGAACACAAGGCAACGTCTGTCAATGAAATCAGCAAGTAACTGGAAACAAAGCAGCGGTCATCAATGAAATCAGTAGTTTAAAGAACAAAAAGCAACATCTATCAATGACATCCTGATCATTTTCATGGCGACATGGAAAAAAAAAAAGGAAAATCGTAATTCTATATTCCAGTACTCCAGTTTGTTTCTCCACAAATTTAAGCCATAATAATGGCAAACCTTCATAATGTTATTAGTTTAATAATATAGAGTTACACATCATGCAGTTATTCCCTAAATATGAGGTCATCCTTCTAGAGAAAGATCTTTGAATTAAAATATTTTCAGTATAGTATAAATTGAAAATAAATTAAAATTTCATTAAGCTGATTAAAAAAAAGGGTTTTTTCTCTTTTGCTTTAAATTTTATATATTTGACCATCATAAAATGATAGAAGATATGTTGACCCACTTCACCTGGAAAAGAAAAATGCAAGCCTTGAAATTGAAATACCATTATTGACCAGATAAGTATGACATTTATTTGCTTTAGTCCATTTGACTGAATAAGAAAGTAACATAAACCAAACCAGAAATAACATTAATGTAATCCTATGCCATAGAATTATGAAACTATTCCAAAACTGTATTTGCATAATTATCATAAGAAATTACACTCACTAATCGTGAAGTGCTGATTAATTGAAACTATAAACCGAAAATTTAGCTGTATAAACCGCACACGTTAATCGTCATGCTACAATAAATGCAAGCGTTTGAGCAAAACATATGGAAATACAACATTGATAATTTTACAACTTTTTCAACAAAAATATAAATATTTAGTCTTGAAAAACAATTCAAGTGCAAAGAAAAAATAGCACTTGTCCATATTAGTCTATAATTCAAATAATTAAGAATCAAATTGTTAAAATGACACCATATAAAACAAAAATCACAATTCTTTAGGTAATCTTATTAATTGCAAAAGCTCAGCAATTGCAAAATCCAATCACCACTCTAAAATTACATTTTCCAGATTTTCACAATAATTGGCATACAAAACCCCCATAAATACCCCCACCACAACCCCCATTTCTCCTCACACCACAAACCCTAAAACA